CCCCCCCCCCCCCCAACGCATGGACCACTATGGCTCCAACATCCCGCTAACCCTCCTTCCAGTCGCTTGGCCTTCTCAACCTTGGAAGCTTTAACTTGCCACATCCCAATGTTATATATACTTCTTTGAACTTCCCACCCTTTTTTTGGCGTCTTCCAGCCAAGCTTTCAGCCCAAGGCCTCCCGTTTCTTTCTTTTTTTTTCTGTTTTAAACATTTGTATTTCTCCCGTGATGCAGGTTGGGAAAAGATGTTGACGATGCTTGCCCGCCCGCCCTGCGAACAGGCAGGTTAGTCCCTTGGCTTGGTGTTGCAAGGAACTGAGAAAAATGAATCTCAGTTTGTAATCTATGTTTGCATGTATTCAGAGGGGTATTGAACCTAGAGACGCTCACATCTCAGAGGCATGAAGACATTTTGTCATGTCACCAACTCTCCTTTGCAGAAAGTGATTCCTTTCATCTAGCGTCAGCTGCAGGAAGCAGAAGAAAGTGGTCTTTCCAATGTCTTCATGTGTGGTCCATTATATTTAATTTAATTGGCCTTAACAGTTGCCTGTATTTATTTTATCACTTGTTCTGGAAAGTTGGTGTTTTAGTAATAAAGTATAACTAGCCTTTGATATTGTATCAACATATTTTAAAATGTTGCTGCTGGCTTGGTGCCTAAAATCCACATTAGCTAAACAGAGTCACTTACATTCATGTGGAAGTCAACAGGGCAAATTCATCCCTGGTTCAGCTCTGCTGACTTTAGTGAATTGGGGATGAATATTGCTGTTGGTGTTCTGTGAAACTGAAATGTACTGAGTTGATTGTGTGTAGCTGAAATTAGAGTGTGGTCTTATACTTCTGTTCCACCAACAGGAAGTCTTACAGCTTTGCACAACCTGAGTACTATGTAATTATAATATTTAACTTTGTGGAATCTAAGGTGTACCTCTAATAAACAGGCGAGTATCCTGGCCCAGATTTACAAATTATGCTCTGATTAAATTGTTCTTTCTGCCAGTGATACTGGATTATGAGAGGAATGCCACGAGTCATGCTTTTTCATATAATATTTTTCCTATTGAAAAGATTTCTGACACATGAAGTCACTTTAGATGGGGATACATTCTGGTAGCACTAAAGTGAGTGGGAGTTTTACGATTGACTTCAATGAGAATAGGAGCTGGTCTGTAGAAATATGTGAGCCCTTGAAATATATATATTTGGGTACATTGCTCTGTGCTGAAAAAGATGTAGCAAAAAAGCAATATTGCAACAATTACTGTATTAATAGTATAATTATTGCTTTGCTTTTTAGTGTGACTGTACATTTTCAAAGGCTCTGTCCAAATATTAATTTGTCTTCAGGTGTTACTCTTTAGTAACTTATTTTTTTCCAGTTTCAGAAATCAATGTTTTGATCTATGAATGAAATATATACATTGGGCAATGATACTTTCCTCTCACCCAGCCCTCAATGATAAGCTATTTTGTGATCATGTAAAGTTTACAAAAAAGAAGGGGTTTGTTTGGGGGCTGTCTTGTTTTCACAAAAGCAGAAGTTTTATCCATGTTTTATCCATTTTCACATGGACTGGTTCTTTAGGGATTATTTGTGTATATTGATAAGTCTCATTGATGGCTCCTCCATGCACATTTTCTCCAGGTAAATTTCCGATATAATATTGCTGATATAAAAATAGTATTTCATCTTATCATTCACATATTTTTCCATATAACGCTCCTTTTAATAATTTCAAAATGCCCCAGCAGAGTAAAGCAAATTCAGCCTAACCATAAACATATTTGGTGACAACTTAATGATTTTCAAACAGGAACCATATTATAATACATGCTAATAAAAATTAACTTGGTGTATATTAAATAAGAATGCAACCCTTAACATACTGGTGTCCTAAGAATGCTGCTTTTAGGAAACTTCAGAACTTAACTAAGTACGCAATACATTGTGCACATTGTTCTCAGTTTATTAGGTCTTAAATTGTAGCAGACTTGTACCAAAGTGATTCAGGATAGATCATAAAGAGTGTTCCCTATCATTTGCGTGCATTGTGCCAGGGCTTGTAATGCCTCTATTTATGCTCCCTGTGTTCACCACAGGAGTGCAAAGTGCACCTAAGGGGACAGAGACAAGATAGATAGGTGTGTCGTCTTGGGCACACTTCACATTGGCTTATGGCAGTAGATGGTAGGGTGCCATCTCTGTTGAAGGCTGGAAGTAGCAGCATCAGTCTCAAAATGATTGGGCCTATGTGGCATAATTGGGTGCATCTACACATGCAGTTGGCATGTAGCAATCAACTCCGGTATGGTTTGCACTGGAATTTATTGCTCCTTGGTGTAGTGTTTATACGTGCACCCAGGACTGGGGGTCAGCCTCCCAGTCCAGGGCTGCTCTGCCTTGGCTCAAAATGCTGTGGAGGGGCTGGCTGGTGCATGAGGGTACTCCAGTGTGGGGCTAGGTTAGCCAGCAGTGCCCCAGCCAGCCCTGTCACCATCTACACATGCATTTCACCGCATGTAACTACTCCTCTGTAGGATAGTACTTGTCCCAGACAGTACTATCCTACAGCAGTTAATTAATTTATTGCACCTTAATAAGGGCACATGTGTAGATAGTGATGCTTTACTACAGAGCTAATTAGTCCGCTCCACAGTAAAGCACATGTGTAGATGCAGCCAATGAGTCCTAAATAAGTTTTAACAGGCGAGTCACTTCCAGGCATAATATATACATGGAAAATCATATAATTATTTAGGAATTTGCAAGGCAGTAATAACTCATTTTCTGCTTTCCTTAGGTGTAAAGACCACAACCTATGATTAGGATGAATAGTTCTGTTTTGTTTTTTTAAAGCAATGACTATTTGGGCATTCTCAGGACTGCAACTGCAGGTACCTAGAGAACTCTAAGGCTAAACACAGAAGTGCTCAGTAAGTTTTGACACCTTCAGAGTTAAGTGACAGCTGAGCAGGATTTTTTTTGTATTGCAGAAGAGAGGCATCCACGTTATGTTTTAGGCACCTTGGTACTTTTGCTGAGACCTGGCTTGATATCTCATTAGCATTATTAAAAAGAAAAATAATGGGATACTCTAATAAGAAGATAATAGGAAGACCCTGTTCCCTGCTTCCCCACCCTTCTGCGGGGAAAGTTTGCAGGGCCGAAGGAGAAGGGAGTCTCCAGGAAGAAGAGCTGGTCATAGAAAATAATTTGGGGTTGAGAGATCTATATTTGAAATGGTGCTCAACCTTTTTGGCTGGTGGGCCAGAGGGCAGTGTCCTGTCCAACCACTGTGAGGAGGCCTGTGGGCCAGATGCTATGACTCCATGGGCTGTATTTGGCCTGGGGGTCAGAGGCTGAGCACCCCTGGTTGAAATTAAATGAAAGGATCAGATAATTACCTTTGTAGAATTTTGAAAGAACTAGCTCATGAAATTGCAAGTTTAGTAGCAAGTCTTTCTAGTCTATCAGGCCTGTGGTCGTACCATATGTTACCATTTCTGGAGAATAGAAAATGTAGTATCTTATATCTAAGAGGGGGAAAAAACAATCTAGGCAACTGCAGGTCTGTTAGGGTGACCTCAGAAGTGGGCAATACCTTAAAATTTGGAAGTAAAGAGTAATAAAAACACAGAGGGAATTAGGAAAAGGGATAAAAACATGGGTTTACTAAATATACGTTATGCCAATATCTTTTCTTTCTAGGCAAGGAGAAAGCAGTACATCCAATATAGTTACATAGGTTCATAGTTTGTAGGGTCGGAAGGGACCTGAGCAGATTGTCAAGTCCGACCCCTTGCCTTGGCAGGAAAAAGTACTGCGGTCAAACAACCCCAACAAGGTGTTCATCTAGCCTTGTCTTAAAGACCCCCAGGGTAGGATCCAGCACCACTTTGCTTGGAAGTTGGTTCCAGATCCTAG